ATGAAATTGATTGCACATTATTCGGTTCACTAAGACAGTGTTCTAATCGGAGATCAGGCGCGATTATCAGTTATCGTGACTGATCCGTATTACTATTATTATTATTATTAGTGCAAAGTTAGATATTTCTGTGTCCGTGAAACCTCTAGTCAGAAGGAAATATTTTGGTTGAACCAAGAAACTGTTACAGGTAACAGGTAACACTGGAGTGTGTTTAGGAAATATTTGAATGAAATAGCTCATTTGAGCTGGTAAACTGTCGTATCCCTTGGGGTAAGTTCCAGCGCTTTGAACTCTGTCATTTGGCAAAACTTTCTCCGGTGGCCCCCAAAGCTGACTAGGTGAAGATCGTTACGTTGTGGTGAGTGGAGAAAATTTTACCGTTCAGTGAGACAGTAATAAAGATAAGCGGGGGAATTCATGGGTTCGCAACCTGAATTTACACCAATCTAGTGGTAATTGAGCTCCAATGGTAACGATTCCCCCCCCCCCCACACACACACACACTTCCATTGCATTTCGCGCATGATTGTGCAACAGCTAGAGAAGTATCATCGAAAGCAGTCTGGTGACACTATCTCTCCTAACAAACTTGTGCAAAACGTCACGCTGTTCATGAAGCCGGTTTGAGCTGCCCTCTTCCCCTCTAGGAAGCAAGCTGAAGTAAGGTTTAAAATGTCCGCGCTGAATATATGTCCACGTGATCCACCAGCGAATTCATTCCCGTATCTGTACCGATTAAAGTAATGTTCTGATTTCCATTCATAAAAGGAACAAACGAACACTGACTCATAAATTATACTACCCTGATTCCATTGATTGATTATTACATAACACAGTTGCTATGGTGATATTTTCTGTTCGTTACGACCCCTCCCCTTTGAATATGTGTAGTTGAACTGCGGGTGCAAGATGATTCGAAACCAGATCATATGGTCATTGACATGTGGATAGAGATTTCAGCGATCAAAATTTACCACCCACCCCTCGACTCAAGTTACTACACGAGCATCGCTGGCTGGCAGTGGCACGTGCCATGATTTATCCGTTCATATGCACGTGGTAACTCAGTGGGGTGGCCGGGGGTGGAGGACTGGTGTCCGAAGATAATAGAAATATCCGCACAAGTTTGACCAGTTATCATGATTCCCTGGCGCCATTTATCTTTATCGAAGTGTGTGCGAGGGATTGCATGACATCCCGGAACACTTAATCAACAGTGATCTACGATCACGATGTGACATGATCTGGTTGAACAGAGGAGCGGGATACTGACGACCGACAAGTCAATCAAGTAAGTGGCTACTGGCAGTGATGATGACGACGCCAGCGGGGAGGGGGGCAGGCGGGCGGGAAAGATGTCAAGATCCCAACCAC